TTCACATACTGATTAATTCATTTCAGGTGAACTTTGGTTATGTTGAAGACGGGCAAAAGAAAAATGCTTTGGTAAAATTACGTCTGTGCCCTGAGTGTTCTGCAAAATTGAATTACCACAGCCAGAAAAAGCGAGTGGAAAAGAAAAGCAAAAAACCGAACAGACGAGAAAAATTGCGTGAAGGATCTCTATCAACAACCGGCGAACCATCTGCGTAATTCTTTTTATTTCATTTCTTAGGCAATGTTCACTTTGCCATCAATATTAATTTATTCATATAATCATTCTTACTCTTTTTTTTCAGTGTGCGATTATTATTGTTTTGCGTATCACTATCTTAATGATCTCTTGCATTTTCCCCTCTTTTCAGTTTACCATCATGTTCGCAATCAGAACTGCGGAAGTCCCGGAAAAATTCAAAGTCCGGCGAGAATGATGGCAGTGGAAATATGGTTGAAGAAACGTCTGAAGAAGGCAAACAGTTGGATGGTGAGGATGGAAACGGGCAAAGTGATTCGCAGCACTCCACTAAAACATCAGATGAAAAAGCAAAAGAAGACGCGAAAAAGTTGTTAGAGATCTGGAAGAAACCCGGAGATGCGACGGCAATATTAGATGAGAAACGAGCAGAAGAAGAAGATTTGGATGCGTTTCTGGATGAGATGTTCATGTGATCTGTTATCGCACAAACTTGTATAAATTTGTGATTATTATTAATAAATGTCTTGCTTTTGTTCTTGTTGAATTGTATTGGAATGCGCACATTCGTTGATACTGAGTGCCTAAAAATTTGAAGTGTCATGTTCTTCAAGCCATTTCTCAATGCGTCCGCCATAGTTGTCAAATATACCAATTTAGAGGTTTGCTGTAATTGATGCATCTGAATTAATGAACTTCCTATTCTTGCATCCGGGATATCTCCAGTGTGGCTGACTCTAACTCAATGTTCAAGTTGAAACGTCAGATCCACAAATCTCATTGTTAAAAATCTATCGAATTGTATCACCACGCTTCGAGACCTACTAAGTGTGGTATAGCAAACTGACAATGANTTTATATACAAATTTATTCTCACTCACTATCAGAATTATGGTTGATGATCAATTAACGTAACACTTTCTTGTACCCATTACCCAGCACCTACTGTTAGTTGTTTGGGGTATTTGTGGATGAAAACTTAGATATTTCTATGATAGTGCAGAAATGCTGAGTATGTTCATGAGAGAATCTTTATGATGAGTCAGTGGATGTCATTGAAGCTGAATAAGCGGATGTATTTGTAGGTATTGTTTCATTATCGTTTAGTTGAATTATTCGACATATTGTGTTATTCTGCTCATTTGCATCATTTTGATCTCGTTGACATCTTGATTTAAGATCAATTACATGGATATGTGTTTCAGCTCAGTTCATCTCTTAATTTAAATAGCAGTTGAAACTCATTATGAGTTTACAAGACTCTCTTATCACTAATATATCAGATCAAATATCACGTCGTTCTCTGTTCGCATCATTCATTCTGCATAGATAACAATATTAGTGCATTTATGATAATCTAATTCCAATAACCAATTTGGGATCACAGGTGTAGAGTTTCCTCTTCAACATTGATGAAGAGTATTGATATATAATAAATTACTTCAATCATTTTGATCTTGCAATCTGCAATTCAGTCAGCCTTTCAAGCAACTTTCCTCCAATCTCCTTGACATTCTGATTTAAGAGTACAA